AGACCTCCACATAGCAACCTAGAGCAGAGCCTTCAACACTCACGCCACCGTCCCATCCTCCACGGATACGTTTGATACAATGTCTCTGTTGTCGCAAATATCTGAAGTCAATCCATCTTCCCGTCCTTCCCCTCCTCGCCTCCCAAGTCAGCTCATCCGCAACACAATTGAACTCTCTGTAGATATGCTTCCACGGATCTGTCCCTACAGTGGCACACCTGATCTCGTAATCCCCAGCAAGTTGATTCATATCATTTTGTAGACCATGCACTCTCCTGCGGTACGAACGATCACGGCATTCCCAGATCCCTCGGGCCCAGTTCACCACACACATACTATCTCCTGTCATTTCAACCGATAATGAGCCCTCCGAGCCATCCTGCCAGACAGTTTCGTTGTTGTACCCGTGGGCAATCCTACGAGCGAGCCTGTCGGAGTCCCCATGGGAGTCCCACGTACCCACAGGACAAGGAGCACAGGGCGGTTTCCTGAAGATGGGTTCCCATCGAGGCTGTATTTTCGTCATGCGCGCAACTACATTCCACCAGTCCGTCGCATTCCACTTGATGCTGAACCAGCGTAAATTACCACTCGCCGCCAGCATAAGACAATGCCAGCTGTCAGTGCTTGCATGCGCTCTCCCTCCCACTCTCCTCGTACCTTCCCTCCTCCTGGCTCCCGTGAACATGGATACAAGTGTGTCCCTCCGTAGTGACCATTCCCCCGCACAGTGTAACATAGCCTGAAGCGTCTGGCGCCAGGCTCGTGCTCCACGCATGTCAGTGGAGGCGAAGGCCCGCTCATGAAACTGGGCCAGCTCCAACGCAAACCCGAAATTGGCTCGGACCACCTTTTCTAAGACACTGCCGTGGCCAGCCTGCAAGAATAGCTCGTATGACTTCGGTGTGGTCCTGTCCCTGAACTCCTCCCACGTCTCCTCCTCCCTCTTGTGTAATCCTCGCATACCGTTGAGACACCTCCCCTCCCAGACCTTAATCCTCTCCAGCAGTCGTAGGTTGCACGGCCAGCCTATACATCCGTGGTACACCACAGACTGCACACGAGCGGCGTACCTGCGAAATTTCTCCTTGAGTGAGACGGATCTGGAGCGATAAAACTGAATGTCAGCAAAATAGGCCTTCCTCCCTCTCCCCAGTCGATGATACAAACCGTGGTAATCTTTGATTTCCGAACTGAGCTTCACTCCTAGTACCTCCACCTCCTCCTTCCTCGGCATTACAACAGTCGAGCGCAAGTGCACTGGTAGATCCTCATCTCCAGAAATCGCACAGATGGCTGGCGAGAGCGGGCAAAGCAGCGGCGGATCGCCACAGGTGTACGTCTGGCCAAAAAGTACATACGCCAACGAATCCTCCTTCCAGTCCATCCCTGTCCGTCTGAGTGTTACCGTCATCATAGCGATCATCTGTTGTAGCTGGAGTTGCGATGCAGCACAGAGAGTAACATTGTCCGCCCACAAGAAGTGGTGTACCAGAGCACCGTCCGTCCCCTCCCCTTCCAGTCGGACACCATACCCTAAGGTATCCCAAGTCTGAATCACAGATCCCCAGATGGCCTCCAAGACAATATTGAAAAGTATAGGTCCCTCCTTACCTCCCGTTCGGACCGATTTATTGTATCTCACCTCATCGCCGCACACGTTCTGAAACTCAAAGGTAGCAATGTTATCCAGCATGGGCTCCACAATGGCTCTGATGAGGCACACAGGGTACTTAAGGTACAGCATGGCCTTGATGATAGTGTGCAGTGTGACATTATCGAACGCCTTGTGTATGTCCAAGACTCCCACGTGCATAGACTCCGCCTTCCCCCACACATTTGCATGTCTAGTAAGATGTGATAGTGGTGCCGTGACGTTAGTGACCTTCTGATCCTTCTCAAACCCGTATGTGCACAACCGTCGGTTCACAGGGAATGCATCAATAAACTGCAACACACATGCCATGTACCATTTACTCATCACACTGATCAGGCAAATCCCTCTGGTGTTGGAGAGTCGTGTAGCACCCCGCATCTTCGGCACAAGTTGGATAGTGAGCTGCCTCCACGTCTCAGGGCTAGAGGCTCCCTGCTCGAAAATCCTCTGGAAAGCACGCCGAACAAACAAGAGGCTCCTCCACGGCAACTCACGGATGACCTCAGCAACGATTCCATCGCTACCGGGTGCCGTGCCAGGCTTCAAAGACGCACGAGCCTGCATGAGCATGCCCATCGTGATGACTCTTCCCTCCACCCCACGGTCGTCGTGTCTGAGCTCCTGAAAGGCTTTCAAAGTCCGTGTTTCCTCCTCCGAGTTCGTGTAAGACGCCGTCGCATACCTAGTGATCTCCGTACTCCACCTAGTCCTGTCCATTGTCAGCACACCCTCACACTCCAGCTCCTTGAGGATACACCGTGAGGTCTTACTGGATCCCTTGTGGTCCTGCAGGAGTTGGTTCCTCCTATGCTGTCTCCTAAGGGTCTTCCTCCTACGCAGCAGTTGTTTACGAGTATTCCCAAGGGCCCCACGCCTGATGGCAGACTCCACCTCTATGAGCTCCCTGGGCCTCTGAATAGGTTTGCAGTTGGGGCGCCCCTTAGTGTGGTCCACAAGCTTTGCCGTCTCCAAGAGTACCCGTCCGACCTGCTGTAGGTCCGCCCCTACCGCGTCAGATGCAAGCCCCTCAATCGACACATCCGCAAGCACACGAAACATGTTCCTCGCCGTGTCATCCGTCGGCTGCCAGCCAACCATGGACACAGGGCGGGGTGGCAAAGCTGGGCGCCTGATCTCCGTAGTCTTGAGATTTACCCAGACCAGAGCGTGATCACTATAGGCACTGGCTTTTGCACGAATACCTGGCGTAGCTGCGATGGGTTCCACAAACTGGACCTGGCATCTCATTTCCTGTTGAGCTCTTGCCTCATCCGCGCACCAACGTGTAGGGATGAATATATAGTCAAGCACACGCTGCACATGTGTGGAACAGTACGGTATATGTGTGATACGTCGAGCTCCATATGCGTTCGCCGCACAGATCCCCCAAGTACTCATGAACCTCATAAGCATGTCCCTCCTCTCTGCATGGTAGTTCGCCTCCTCCCTCCTCCCGTCCACCTGCATAAGACCTCCTCCCGTCATTCCCAGCATATCTGGTTCAAGTTCCGTCTGAGCATCCATCCCCACCCATGGTATGACTCCAGCCTGTGTAGTTTGAAACATAGTAACACTGCACTTTGTAAGTACATCTGAGTATTCCCCCAAGTGGTCCACCTCACGCATCACGCATGGTAGATACACAGATGTAACTAGAGCACCCCTGAATTCGACACACGCAAATCGTACCCCACTCCGTCGCGCAATCACATGTGGCGCCCAATCCCTGCACCATGCAACCGCCGCCCTGGAGCAGGAGCTATAGTGAATCTCCCATCCACATCTATTAAAAGTATGTGCACTGGTATGCTCACACTCTTGCAGGCACACCATTTGAATTGACCTGGCTTCACATGCAGCGACCAGGTTGGGTACTTGACCGTCTGATATTTTCTGCACATTCCAGGTTGCAACAACGGTCTCTGTCGCAGCCTTACCGCCCCGTCAATGGTTAGGGCACCGTAGTGTCTGAAGAAACTGCACCTGGTTAATGTCAGGCTCAACGTGTGTCAAATTGGCGCCATAGAGGCTCCATCCTTTTGTCGGTCCACATTCTGCAATCAACGTCTTTTGTGTAGTATCCTCAGGATTCGGCATATACCACATATATGTCATTGGCGGACCCGTCTCACCTAGAAGAATAGCCGTCGCATTGCCCTTGATATCAGAAAATAGTGCTTGAAACCTTCCTACCGCCCGAACATGTTCTATCCTCCATGGCTGGCATTCAACTTGAAACCGCACATTGGGAGGCAATGAAGTGAGTCCCCGCCTGTAGTCATTCTCCCACACACGTTTCGCTTCCCATAGGATCTCAGAGGAAGTACCTGGTTTGAAATAGATCCTACCCCTCGTGTACGGCCAATATCTGCCAGTATTCTCCTGAACCGTCCGATCCAAGTCCAGTGCCACCCTCTGTGTAGCATCAATTTGTTTAGAGTCAATAAGACCATTCATCGCCGTCGTCAGTGCCTCCTGTGAAAGAGCCTCCCGCTGACGTATCTCACGGTTCCTCCATCCCTCCCTTGAAACCCACCCCTTGAACTCAACATAACGTGGATTCCAAGCAGGATCGTGCCTGTCCGTACCCGCCTTCGTGGATCCACTTGCTACCGACAGCCCGCCCCCCTGCTTGAGCTTCTGAACTTCATTGGTGAGGTCCTGGATCGCCGACTCTGTTTTCGAGACCCTGGAGCCCAGAGATGTTTTCAGACCGTCCATTTCCGTACGAATAGAGTTCCTGAACGATTGCATGTCTGCCGTCATAGTCTGCTGTCCCGTCATGATAGATCGAAACATCTGTTCAATGTCAAGGCCAGCTTCCTGGGCAACCTCATTCGCACCCAATGTTTGTCCCGCACCTCCTCATTCTCCTTTCCCTCCTCCTTCGACATTACGAGCACGGACAGCTCTAGCAAACGCCCCACCCCCATCATCAATTGTCATGTCCTGGCCCGTCGCATGCAAGCCTGGAGCACCTGAAACTGAAGAACCTGCTGGCATCGCTGGAGCAGCACCTGAAACTGAAGAACCTGCTGCAGCCATCTTCCTTTTGTGGCTGCGTAAGATATTGAAATCGTAACCTTCACCCTGCACGAAGTGGTTACGCAAGAAATTGAAATCGCAACCTTCACCCTGCACAAACGGTACTGTTGGTGTGAGCGATGGCACACAAATAACAGCTCTCCTGTCACTTCGAGGTGTCCCGACCTGTCTGGCTAGATAGTCCCAGTCAGCGTGACTGAAGTCGGATCCCCAGCACTCCGTCTTTCCAAGAGAGAGGAAAAGAGACAATTGCAGCAGTAACAATAACAATGACAAGTGCAGGCGGCCTAGCACACACAATAACAATAACAAGTGCAGCGGCCTAGCTGACCTCGATCTTGCTGAACCCGAAGAAGACGATGAAGGCAGCGATGGCTGCCGCGCCGCCCGCGGCGACGCGCCCCCCCCCCACACGCTAGACGCCTGTGGGATCCATTCAAAACTTGGTTGGGTGTTGGGGTCGGCTACACAGGGCGCGAGCGCCCTAGCCGCGCAGAGTCCCTAGAGGCCCTCACGCCCTCTCAACCCCTTTGGGGTTGGAGGCTCGAGAATATCCGAGATAATCTGCCGAACACCTTGCAGCAGGCGTTCACAAGCTGTAAGCTCGCTTTCTGTAACAGTGGCCCCCAGAGGGAGCAAAGAAGCCTCCTGGAACACTCGTCGCCAGTGGTTGTCCCCAAGAGAGACCCCCACAAAGCAACCTAGAGCAGAGCCTTCATCACTCACGCCACCGTCCCATCCTCCACGGATACGTCTGATACAATGTCTCTGTTGTCGTAAATATCTGAAGTCGGAACACTGATACCGAAGTGCAAAAACAACATGACTTGATAGCAACACGAACAGCACGGCCTGTAGCTCTCATGAGTCCAGCCAGCGGGGAGCCAAAGGGAGAGCAAGCGGGGAGCAGGGAAGCCCAAGGAGCCAAAGCGAGCCCAGGGGAAGAAACAGCGGGGGAGAGGAAGGGACAAACACAACAGAAGCATGCGTAGTCAATTCAAATAAGTCCATCAAGCTCTCCGCTGGTCTGCAATTCACATAATTCCATAAAGTTGTCATAAAGGTGTTTCGCCTCTTTCACAAGAGCAGACGGCTGGGCAGCACTGTCCATAACCTGCTGAAGGTCATGTAAGACGGTTTCGATTGAACCGTGATCCCTGAAGGTTTGGAACGCATCCCAAATCCAACAGCCCCGTTCGTCCTCATCGCAGTCTCGAAATTCAGAAAGGAAATCTGGCACATGCACCGTTGACACGACGTCGTCCGTAGCAGTCGCCCGTACAAATCTGTATTTTCTGATACGAAGATTTAGCGCCTTCTCCAGGTACACGCGAAAATCCTCCTGAGCCACCTCCTCCTGCTCCATCTGAGCAACAGCTTCAATATGAACATTATCCTCCTCCTCGTCCTTGCAGCCAGGGTTCGATGCCACGGCGAGCGTGACATCGGATACTGCCTCCAACTCCTCCTCCGCCTCCTCAGTCACTTTCCCAAGAACAGTTCCTCGTATGTTGGCGCCTTTAGAGCTCTTGGCCGGCTTGGCGCTGCTATGATATCGTTGGCCTTTGCCGCTGCTCTTGCGGTGACCTCGCACAGGATTCGATACCTCATTGAGCGTGACGGGACGATTCAGACACCCCCGGGACGCTCCTGACAAGGCGCGGCTATCAGAATCAGACTGCACGTTCGGAGAAGACTCCGCACTCGAGGGCGCCTCCAGCTCCTCCTCCGCCGCCACAGTCACTTTCCCAAGAAGAACTCCGGAAGCTCCTCCCTCCATCCCAACGACACTCTCTGTCTGACAGCCGACTTCACAATGAGAGTCCGCAACATCCGTACTAGAAGAAGCCTGCACTCCAATATCTACCGAAGAGACCCGTGGGCAAACCACCATCATCTGAGAGAACTGATCGCCTCCGAATCCCTGACCAACCTCCTCCCGCATCAAACTGCAAGAAAAATTCTCCGAGGGTGTCGTAACGGCAGCTTGCTCCACCTCCAAATGATTATACCGAGTCTGCAATCCAACATCAAACACGGAATCAGCAGCCAGCACTCCAGCATTTGCCGAAGGGGCACATGGATATTTGGCTTGAAGCATACGGCAAGAAAGATTATCCGAAACAGTCGTAATGGCAGCCTCCTCCTCCTCCAAACTGCATCTAACAACAGGTGGATCGCGCAACAAGAGATAATCTAGAACCAAATCGGCAGTCGCCCGTTCCAGCCCTGGTGGTGGGAGACACGTAGGTGGCACCAAACCTTCCAGAGGCAAACGAACAGGTGAATGCACACAGTATCCGTTTTGAGCAGCCAGCGCCCGACGCATAATGCGAGCACTTGCACTCCGTACGTGTGGCATAGCGAAAGATTGCAGAGACTGCCTCGGAAGCACCCAGCAAAACACATCAATTGAAGACCACTCAAGGCGATCAAACGTGTCAAATGAAAGGCAGTGCAATATCACTCTAGGCGACAAACGCGTGACTCCCTGACGCGCACTCGATCCCACTGGAGGTTACCCAGGCAGAGGGGACCAAATGCCAAGCGCCTTGGTAGCGTTCAAAACCCGGAGAGCAAAGAGGCACTCACACAGGCGCCGGCGGTGAACCGTCAACCTGGTCACCGGCGGGAACCTCGCAGAGCTCCTTGCACGCGTAAGAGTGCCCAGAATCAAAGCAGAGGACTACATGAAGATTTTCTTAAAATCTTCATGTTTGCATTTTTTGATGCTAATACGAAGTGGGTTCCTGGAATTCAACCGATGGCACAACTCCCTCGGGAGAGCTGAGCTGCTCTCAGAACAAAGTTTGGACACTAATACTGGGAGTGAAAATCTGGTTTCTCAAAATGAATTGTTCAATATCGTTCAAATCTTAGCAAAACCGACCCAAAGTCGTCACATTGTCATTTCTGGCCAGGTCGACCAACTAGCTCCATCCCGCGCCGGAATTCCTCTAGCTCACCGATAACTGGCGCCGGCGTACACCGTCAACCTGGTTTTTTGCGGACTTTGCGGTCGACTGTGCAGGCTTTCCAACCTAGTCGGAGCAAGGGGCGGGCGCATCGGGAGCAGGCGGAAGCCTCGCCGATCCAAACGATCAGAGGCGGTAGCCAGCTCTTATTTGTAGGATGAGAGGTCAAGCACGCACGCACAACACACACAGGCATGGCGTGAGTGAGCACAATCACTTATTCACATCATCTCCAGTCCGAAATACGCATGTACAACCCGCGGCAAGATCATAATCGCATGCTCAACGGCCGAGGTCTCGGCATCTGTCACCGTCGAAGTTGGGTCAATCGAGAACGCCGCACTATACACCTCCGTCCAGATGATCTCATGGCTGAGTGGTTGCCTTGAGAGTCTCGATATACGTCCAACATCTATCCAGCACCCGACTCCCACGCCGTCGCAAGAGACGCAACCATCGAATCCAGCGCTGATGGCACAAACGCAAACCACCTGATCTAACTGTGGGGCGTAGGGCCCAATCCTGTCCCGAAACACTGGTGGCCCGACACGGGCCGTATGAGTGAGTACATCTGCACGCATGTTCCATTCCCTGTATGTGTGGTCAACAATTTGCCTCCCATGAGAGGCAGGTCTAATACCGAATCTCTGACACATGTTGTCCAATTGGTTAATCCTTCTGTTCATCCCATCTTGATAGGTACGATTTAGCACCCTCCAGACACCCTGAAGCCAAGACACCACCAGAAGACTGTCCCCAGAGATGTACACCGGGGTCCCGAAAGAGTCGAGGTCGCACACAACCTCCTTCATATTTTTTAACGCAATACGTTTGGCCAGCTTGTCGTTGAAAGCTGGAGTCCTCTCTTGAGCCCCATATGTGTGTAGGTCGTTTTGTGTGATAGTATGCACATCCTGCAGGGCCCCACCTGTTGTACCGTACCCTTTCTCTTCTGGAAACAACTCAGCATCGTCCGTGTACACATGCGCTCGCAGAACTGAGTGCAAGCTGAATCTGTCGGCACAAAGGACTCCCACCATTTGAGTCCGTAGAATTCACAGAAAGAAAACAGCCAGCATCTCTGGCCAATAGCTCTACCTGAGCTGGTATGTCTCCTCTTGAGCTGTGAAGCCTCCTGGAAGCGAAAGATCCCCCGCAGGAACTCAGAAGCATCCGTCCTGAGTCTGTCCCACAGTGGGCCATATGCAACCGTAATCACGTGGCGGTCTCGCCAGGTACGCTGCGTCGAAGAAATATCCCCATGAGAATCAGCACGCAAGCTAGAGATAACGTTTGCAGCATCCTTGGCGGGGTTCCACACCGTACGGGGAAAGCGCTGCACCAACGTCGCAAATCCGTAGGATCGAAATTGCTCTCTGGCCTCATGGTACCGCCGTCGGTTCCAGTCCGCCATCGTCTCATCCTCCCTCCTTGGCCGTCGAAACATACGGCACAAACACCGGCCCTCGAAGGCATTGAGCATGTGTAATGAGGAGGTATCTGCAGTACATGTCTCGAGACATAACAGTGCCATACTCTGCACCTTATCCTGATAACGACCAAATTTATCACGAACAGCAACCGCTCTGTTACGAAAGAAATCCGCCTGTCCGATGAAGCAAGCACGACCCTCTTTGATGCGATACTCTACATCAGGATGTGCAGGCGATAGGTAGGTAGAATATATCTCATAACCCAATACTTTCAATCTGCACACAAGTTCAAGACTAAAGCCCTGATACCCAGAGCATGCAGGAATAATCAAATCCTCACTGGCAGGTATATGTCCATCTCCGTCCACTCTCGCATTCTCCCCACATGTCATGCACAGCAGGCTGCTATCCTTCCACCTCATCCCCCAGTCGTGTAATGGTAGGGTTAGATCGTGAATCATCTGAGCCAGCATGGTTGAGGAGGCAGACACAAGGTAACAATTGTCCGCCCACACAAAGTGGTTCACGACTGTCCGTCGCTCATACTCTCCACAGACACCCTCCAGCACACACCCCACTCCTCGACTGTCCCACTCCCGAAATATTGGTCCCCACATGGCACATATGATAAGATTGAATAGAAGAGGCCCCTCAGGGCCGCCCGTCCTGATACAGACGCCCCAGCTGATATCGTGAATGGCCATACCCTCGACAACTAACGACCCCGTAGTGCAAACCAGTGGTGCAAGCAACGCATACTGAAGATAAGCAGGAATGTTGGCACGGCACATAGCTCTCTGAGCATTTTGGAGGCTGCAGTGGTCAAACGCTCGTTTGATATCGGCATTTGCAATATGGACCGTTTGATCCTTTCCCCAGATGTCCCCATGTTGAGCAAGAGCCTTGAGGGCCCCCACGATTTCCACAGTTTTACGCCCCTCCTGGAAGCCGTAGATGCCCAGAGGTCCCATGAGCCCAGCCCGAGAGACAAATTGTTCGACCAAGATCACCACACAAGCAGAGTACCAACGGCTGATACTGTTTTGCAGACAGAGGTACCGTGCATCTGTCAATGATGTCAAGCTCGGCAGCTCGGGCACGAAGGCAATCAAAATCTGCCTCCAGTCCTGCGGAAACTGCCGTGCCAAACGAAATATCTCATCAAACATCCGAGCTACACTGCGCATAGCCGCCCACGGCAATGCCTCGAGTAGTTCGCAAGGCAGCCTGTCGGGGCCTGTGGCGCGCATGGACTTGAGACGTGACCGTGCCTGGCACACCACCGCCATTGTCAGTCCTTCTGTGCAGTACCCATCACATAAGTTCTGTTGTGCATCCTTCCTCAACTCCTCCAACATATCCACATCCCGTCCCCTGACCTCCTCCGAAGTATATCTCTGTCTGGTGTACTCTCTGATCTCCTCCACCCACTCCTCCCTGTCCTCTGATACCCGTCCCTGCACAATAAGATGCTTGATAGTGCGACGTACTTTGCGCCTGCGAGCTGGGGAGGACCACGCGGCCAACGCCGCACGATATTCCCTCCGAAGTCGGTTGGCACGTCTGCGCAAAGTGGGTGCGCCCACTGCCACAGGCAAAGGCCCCTGGCGCAGAATCTCCTGGCAAGCTGTGAGCTCAGCAGGTCTAACTGGCGGTGGTCCCCGCCCCGTGGTGGCAGTCGTGAATATGATTTCCTCATGTTCTGTACAAGCCCGAATAGTAGTCAACACAAGACCCCCAGGAGAACAAGTAGCGTTGGCATCTCCTAAGACCCGATCGGTTTCCTTTCGTGCCATGTTGAGGCCCCCGAAATTCACAGTTTTATAGCCCACCAGACCCTTTTCAAGAGCTGCCGCAGGGATGCTACATTTGACCAGATCAGCGCCTGGATCACTAAAAGTACCCCGAAGCAGGCCGTGGTCACTAAGACGACTACGACTTGTCTTCCCCCCATTACTCATAATCGTTTCAACCGTCAACTTAACAATCACCCACGTCCTGGGAACAAAAATGTAGTCAACAACCTTCTTACACGTCCCCCACCGAGATGTTCCGTAACTCTCCCATGTACGTAGTCGTCGTGGCAAGAACGAATTGGCAGCCTTCATCCCCAGGCGCCCTAAAATGCAAAGAACACGCTCGCGAAGTTGCTGTCGTACATCCCTCCTCTCCCGTTGTGCACCTCCCTCCTCACAGGTCCTCCTCTCCTCCTTGGTAGCACATCCCACCGCCTCATAGACCGTCCCAGTGCGTGAGCACTGCAGCTGGGTAGATGGAGGTGGCTCGACATTGGCATCGAGCAGCACAGATACAGTCGCCCCTTTTCCAGCGGCTGCGCAGAGTGAAAATGACTGACTCGAGTGTGTCCAAAACCCCACACTGCACATCTACAGCGTTCTCGACGCTGGGGTCAGGAAGATACGCAGAGGCAACTATCACAGGAGCACTCCCACTACCGAAGACCACCACACATAATCGTTCATACTGGCACAGTGATTCACGCACATGTACTCCACTCTTAAATAGTAACCCACACTTACCGTCGCAACTCACACGATATGATAGACCGCACCGCTTGATATATGCATCGAATTTGCCTCCGAAAAGATTCTGGCATTCCTGAACACCCCAGATGCTATCTCGCAGACAGAGGCTCCTCAGGACCTCATTCCCCTTGAAATTAGCCGACCCCGCCCGAGTGAGGTTCCAGCTGCCCAGTCGGATCCCCTTGAACGGTGTACGGCGTCGTCGTCGTCACATCCTCCGGTTGACTTCCGCCTCGATATCAGCCTTCGTTTTTTGTAAACGCAGGTATGAGCTGATGCAATCTGTCGACACTCTCATTCGATACCTCCCACGTCGCCCGTGTCGTGGTAAACTCGGCCAGCAGAAGAGGCCTCTGACCAGCAGCAGTGGGCACCGTCCATGAAGAAGATTTGGGCGGTCCCATTTCACCTCGCACAGCGAAGGCCTCGATACCAATCTGTGTACACATGCTCCGAAGCGTGCCGCAGAAGCGCCCGACTGCCTTGACATGGCCCCTCTTCCACGCAGGGCACTCGACACTGACTTCGAGCAGCTCAGGATTGATATTCTGCTTCATATTCTC